AATGCAAAAATACAAAGGATTTTAATTTTGCTTTTGCTTATGGAGACTTGGAAAGATTAAATCATATTAGAATAAAGATTCTCCAGATACAATTCCAAATTCCGTGCTATGTCAATTAGATTATGCAACCCTACCATAAAAAACAACTTAAAGATTTGCTGAGGTCTACTGAAGTAGCCACAGTGTTCTGGAACGCTTAAATAGTCTTTTCAGTGAGACAGGAAAATCAGTGGCTGCTGAACTTAATTTTTTAATGGAGAAAGTGATGTCGTCTATTGTGAGGTTTCGAGGGATTCCATGAAAGCCCTAACATGTATTTATGCAAATACACACACACACACACACACACACAAATATTTATTACTATCTCAGTCTGTTTTAATGTTGCTGTAACAAAATACTGGAAACCGTTGACTTTATAGGAATAGATAAAGTGGCTCTTGTTTCTGGAGGCTGGAAAGTTTAATTGCATTGTTTGGGCATCTGCTGAGGGCCATTATTATGACATAACATCTTGGAGGATATCATGGCTACACCTAGCAATAGCGCTATGTTCAGTCTCTCTTCTTTTTCTAAAGCCACTGCTGCTCTCAAGGGGTCCATGAGGGGGTTATCTGCTTGACCTCATCTAACCCTAGTCTGCTTCCCAAACCTCCAAGTCCAAATAAAGCTGACATAGGAACTAAGGAAGATTCTGATGTGGGACACACTCAAGTTATTGCACTTACAAAATACACTTGCAAAATACAGACATAAATGCAGGATAGCTAAAACCTCAGTAATACTTTCTTTGTCTTAAACTGTAATGGACCCAATTCCATGAATTTATAATTGTTTTTTTCTTACCTGCCTAAAACTTTGAAGAATCTCTGTTATCTCTGAATCTCATGATGTTTGTTTTCCAAAAACAAAACAAGGAAATAAATGTGTATTTTATATTATAGGAATTGGGCAAATGAAGACGGATTTTGCCTGTGCCCATGATCTTAGTGATTTGGAATTATTTTTGAGTGCTTGCTTCCCTTCCTGGCTGTGGTGTGCAGAGCAATCCAGATGGCTAATACATAAACAACAGGAACCGTGCTTGCTCAGATCTCTTAGGAGCTCAGAGGCTCCCAGTCCCAGGACGTGTGTTTCTTGCCTTGTGTTTTACCTTCACACATGCTGTGCTTTCATTTTCTTCACGTTACATGGTCTTCACCCTTCGTACATGAAGGTAGAGACTCCCAAGCCTGTCTGGCACTATTAACGCCTTGCACCATTCAGGACTCTTTTGTAAAACTGTGTAACCCAAGCTGTCTTCAATTTTACCTTTTAGAATGCATTCCTAATTCATTTTTTTTCTGTCGTTATTCTCTTCTCAAAATTAATCCATCGAGGCCTGATGAGATGGCTCGGCAGATAAGGCACTTGTCATATCAGCCGGATGACTCGCCTTCACTTCCCAGAACCTGTGGCAGGAGGAGAAAATCGACTCCCAGAGTCATTCTCAGAGTTCCATGTGCACTCTGTGGCACGAAAATCCCTCCAACATAAATTTTTAATAAAAAAATTTAAAGTAATAAATCTAAGTTTGAAGAGGAGAGACTGAGACCACAGACTTTGCCGCGGCGCTTGGATTCTGCTTATCGGTGCAAGTAAATATTTGACCTCGGACAGTTTCCTAAGTCTCCTCGCTCAGGAAATGGGATAAAAGGGAGATAAAGCACAGAGCCTGGCACAGTGTGAGCGCTGTCACTGTTATTATTAACATATTTTGGGGGGGGGGAAGCCCCACAGTTGCAAGAGCACTGTTCAGAATAAATCCACATGCTGTTTTGGAGTTTCACGCAGGTCTTCTAGAAGAACTCACCATGAGCAAACAGTACGCAGCTGTCACTGTATGACATCAGGGTTCACGTCCATTCTCCCACTGGACCTCCGATGGCCTGAGGAAAGCCTCTTGTGGCTCCTGTGTGGATTCTTTATTGGCCCTTGTTACATGGTGACCGTGTTGGAACGGGATGCTGCCAGTCCATGCATGCTGCTCTCTCTGAGGAGAAAGATAAAATACTGGTCCAGGCCAGCTCTGGCCATGCCCTAGACATTACATATAACCTTCTTTACAGCCCCGTGGGCTAGGCCATTACTTAATTCCTCACTCTATGCACTTACTATTGCTGAATTAAATGTCAGCAAATATAATTTTTCAATATGTATTTTCTTAAGCTGGGCATGCATCTCATACTTGTAATCTTAACACTTGGGCCTGGCAAGAGTCCAGGATTAGCCTGGTCTATATTGAGTTCAAGGCCTACCTGGGCTGCCCAGTGAGAGACCCTGGCTCACAAAAAGAAAAGAAAAAAAAAAAGAACCAAAGTAGAGTAAAATAAAACAACAAAAAAAAATAATTGTACTTAAGTAGCCAATAGAACAGATAAATGTAATTAACTTAGATTGTCTTGAAAATTTAGCACACATGGTGGTATCTGTATGGTTAGAATGGAGAGAGAGGATTTGAAGGATTAGTTTCATACATTAGCCTGTATATCTGATAATGAGATTCAGGCATTTCTTTTCCAAAACGCTCTTGTCTGTGTGTGTGTGTGTGTGTGTGTGTGTTTGCACACATGTGTGTCTGCCTCTGTCTGTTGGCATGTGTATATAGATTCATGAAAAGCCTGGTACTGACCAAGGTTGTGCTGTTTGGATGGAGTTTAAAGGAATATAGTGGTACAAGTAATTTGCATATAAGCCAGGTCATTGGGCACCAGCCCAGCTCCTTGATTGATCCAGACATCTTATTTCCAATTGCTTTACAATGTGTTCCACTTGAAGTCTGTGAAAGAAATAACTAAAGGGTCTTGGTTAATGTCTTTCATTTAGAAAAAAAAAAAGGTAGAATTCAAACTCGACCACCTCCGTAGGGCACATGCTAATTACAGTGAAAGCTCCGTTTGTAGTCTTCTGCTCAACATCCTTGAACTCTCTTCCATGATTTGTAGAGAGCAGTTTTATGCATGTAATCATTTAATTCCTTTTCACTTAACTTACAGCGTGGCTTCTGAGGTGAGGAAAAGCTATGCATAAAATTGCAAATCTCTGAAATCTAAAAGAGGGACTTTCATTCAGACGGAAATTGATTCTTTACTCTTTTGTTCATTGTTGCTTGGTGGCAGGATCAGCGTTGTCTCCTAAAACCTGAAATAGATCTGATAAAGTACAAAGTGAAATCTTTTCCCTCCTTGTTGTTCCCAGCCTCAGAGGGCACACCATTTATAGTTCCAGTAGGACTGGGTGGTAGATTTTTCTGTCTGTGCTCATGTAAAAGCATAGATGACTTCCTGGGAAAATCAAAGATCACATTCTTGAGTTAGGAGCCGTGCTGTTTGAGAACAATAAAGTTTGCTATTGTCGGTATGCAAAAGGGAGCAATGTTAGTAACATTGACAAGTGACTTTTTGTAAGTCACCGGTTGCAACAGGGGTGAAATCAAAGGCGGTTAGTGACATGATTTGTCTTTCATTTTCAATTCCATCCTGTGTCCTAAGCTATTTTTTTTTTTTTACAAAGAATGCAGTATTCAAGTCGGAGTCCTCTAAATTAAATTGAGTCCATCCCAAACTGACAAACTAAACCTTTTTAAAATTCCTTGTTGCATTGAAGCCAGTGGAGGACTATCCACCCTGTTTTTTGTCCTGGTTTGATTGCTGTCCGTGGACCTCTTCAATGACTCTGTAGGCTTATGTGGTGAAGTTCTAGGGTTGTTCATGGAGATTCCTGTTGCCCGGAAATGTAACACTGGTTTGGCATTTGATACTGAAGTTGCTGTGGCTAATGGGACCCCGGAGAGGTCTGTACATGTCCAGCTGGCTCTCTCGGAAGTTTACTTACCTGATTTGCATGTCTTTTCTGTCAGCACTTGTACTGACAATAATAGTTTCCTTGATAGATACAGACTGAATATGGTCTCATGGTATCTTTATATAAAATATTTGTTCAGAAGATAATTTAGAAACACTATGACATGTAAGAATAATGAGCACTCAACTGATCCTATGGGAGGCAATTCAGTGTTCAACTATTTTAATTTAAATCCAAGGGTTTTATTTCAGATAATGGCTACTAGTAAAATTAATGATATTTTCTCCAGAGTAGTTTTGTTACATCTTCTATCATTCATCTTTAACGTTTTATTCAAATTTGATTTTTAAAAATTAAATAGCAGTTTCACTGAAGTATAACTTTGTACACTGTTTGTTCTACAGAGATTTAGATTTTGTGATTTTGCACTAGATGTCTACCCAAGACAAAGAAGTTGAATACTGCCACGGGCCATGCTTAGGTTATCACTTTGGGAGCTCAGGGCCGAAATCCCTCTGTCACCTGCGTGTGTAATTGAGAAATTATAGTCAAAAGAGACTGTCCCAATGAGGAGTCTCAAAGTTAACACTTGAGAGGTTAGCACATACCAGTCATGTAGTGGACTTGGGCCATGAGTAGCCACGGGCCAGCAGCATCTTCACAAGCCAGGTTGGGAGAGTAATGAGGATAGTCAAGTGCCTTGATAGATAGTTGGTGTACAGCAGCAACCCCAGACATGAACTTACAAAAGCAATACCCAGCCATTCTATAAATTTAAAGCAAAGTACGGGCAACATGAGAAAGCATACATCATCACGAATTTCAAGCGGCAGGGTAAGTGCTATAAGAATCTGCTGTGTGGTGTCGCTCGGCATTTATACTCGCTGGAGTATGGTTGCTATGAGCCTACTTTGGTGCTGCTGATAGTTAGTTATATGTGGCAATAGCAGCACATGCATATATGAAAACATTTCAAGGAAAGTTGGGCTCATGCCAACATGCTACGCATACCTGCTTTTAAGTGACAACATGCTGAGACATTTTGATATCCGTAGCAGTAATTGTGTTTTACATAGTTGAGTTATTTTAAGTGCAATTGTTTTTATTTCCGTGAGGGGGAACATGTTACAGTCGCCTGTTTTGTTCTTTCTCTGTAGGAAGAATGTTTCTTGAACTTAGAGGCTCCAATATCTAGAGTGTGTGGATATGACACCCCATTTCCTCACATTTTTGAGCCATTTTATATCCCGGACAAATGGAAGTGCTATGACGCCCTTCGCAAGATGATCAACTATTGACCACAGAGGTAGGTGTTACCTTCTGTTGATGTGTACAGATGGCGTTTGTGCCCTGTTACCCAGGGTCAACTGCCACCTGTGTCTTCTATTTTGGTGAACAGTAACCCTGATAGCAAAGCGTTTACTTCATAAGAAATGCTCAAACTTCTGCTAGCACATTTACACCCCGTAGGCATGTGTCAAGAGTAGTAAGATCTATAGGCGGCATCAGTGTGCTGGTATTAAATAATCAGATACACTGTCTCCTACTCTGGTCCCAGTTTTCCCCTTCATATTCTATTGTTCCAGCTTTTGAAGATTGCCTATGTAGGAAAGTGATTTCTGTTTATTGAAAGGGACCTCTCCCAGATCAGGTTCCAGTTGTTCATAATGTGTTAAATGACACTCAGAGGTTTATCTTCATCTTATCCAGAAGTCTTTTCTTTTCTTTTCTTTTCCTTTTCTTTTTTTACAAGAAAGCCTATCTAGTATAGAGAAATTTTTACTAAGAAATAAACAAATCGAAAGAAAAAAAACCTAGCATTACTGCTGTTTGCGGAATCTTTTTTGACAAGTGAATGTTTTCATTGGTGGGAGGGAGGGCCTGTTTGGTTTTGAAACAAGATCTAATTCCAGCTCAGGCTGGCCTTAAAGTCTCCTATTATCCTGCCTCTGCCTCCCAAGTGCTGGACTCACAGGCGTGTGCCACCACACCCAGCTTGCAAGTGTCTTGTGAGAGCTGGATGAGAGATCCTATTTGTTCAGTGTTTTCTAGGTTGGCCTTCCCAAGCCTGTCAGCAGTGCTGTTCTAGGAAGAAAAAAAAAAGAATATTGCTAAGAATTATTTGGTTTTCAAGTTTTTTAATATAGAAGTTGCCAACACTGACACCCTGCTTTTAATGTGTTCCAAAATGAGGAGATGAGATTGCAGAATTTATATTTTAATATCTTAGTTGTCCAGAAAGTAATAATAATGCACTTTGAGGGACCAAGATTTTTCAGAAGATAAAAGGAAAATAAATTTGGCATGGTGGCAACAGCCTTTTCCTGCAATAATACGGAATGATGCAATTCTTAAATTCTGTTCGTGGGTTACGGAGCTAGCTTGTAGGCGATCATAGAAAGAATTTATCTAAATAAGGTCCCCTTTTGTTACTACATTCCCACAGTCTCCACAGTCTCATAGCTGTGTTTTGAGACTATTGTTCCAGGTGTCAATTAGAGGTGTTGACTACACAGTCCTGCAGGTACAGAGCCTGCATTTCTGATGCCATGAAAGTATTTGGTTTCTGTGGTCAGTGGCCCCTAGGGTTCTTTGGAGATTTTCATCCTCTCTGGGGGAGTCTCTCCATGGACTCTGTGCTGGAAAATCAAGGAAATGTGATCATTTGACTTACTGCTAGTTTTAAAATATTTTAAAATAAATTTTGTTGTCTTTAAATTCGGCTTGCGCATTTGATTTTAAGTGTAAACAAAATATGTTAGCCTATGCTAACAATGTGATAAAGGAATAAAATAGCTTTTCTGTGTTGAAAGTTAAATATGTTACTAAGGAAAGTAAGTATGCACGGAGCTAAGAATGCTTATAATTGTTACTGATTTCTTTTACAGAAAACCTGGAAGATTATGACTAGATATGGAGATATTTTTCTGAACTTTTTTATATTTCCTTAGACTTCATTCTTCTTACATAACATTTTCTGAAATGAACTATGATGGATATTGGCTGAAGAGCTGCAAATCACTTATTGTGTTATTATGAGTGGGTTGGGGGGATTGAGCGTGTTAAAGAGCTTCGTGGGTGGCCTTGTAATTGTTTCATAACTATAAATATTGGGTAGTGTTGTATTCAATAAAGCAAAAATCACATTGCCTTCAAATTGTGTGTGTCTTCTTCAGTTGGTTAAAAAGGATTCTCATTGCAGAATAATGGGTTGTTACCTTGCTAACTGAATTTGAGTTAAAGTAAAATATTTATTCTAGAAATGCTGACGTTTCCTCTTTATTGTACTTGGTTTAATTCTTTATGGTCAGGATGGTTTTGAGTTGGCAAAACTTTTGGAATGTGTTTCTCCATCGCTCCGTCTTGGTTGAACAAGGTTACTTGCGGACCTGGTTCCTCTGGGTTAGAGGGACTGAATCATCTCTGTATTACTTCCTTACTCAGTAGAGCATTCTCCTGCTTACTATCACATTGTTAAGCTCTAGCTACAATTGTAGGTGTTTCCCCTGCCCAAAGAGTTCGCAAAACAAATTCTATTTTTTATTTATTCCTATTTCTATTTCTGTGTAGATAAGAGGAAAGTATTAGCAAGCAGCGATGTCTTCTGTCAGCTGGGCCCTTTCCTGGGGATACTGGCCAAGCCTCATTTTGCCTTCTCTGCCCCTCTTCATAGTTCTAGAAGATCTGAACACAGCCTCAGGAATTCCCCACAGAGTCATCACCCTGGCCTGCTCTTGGAAATTGAGCAGTTTGACTCTTCTTCCCTTCCATGGTCCCCAAACAACTGCCCCATTCAAGTTTTGGCAGAAAGGTCCATGACAAAGCAGCGAAACTGGATTGTCCTGTTTCGAAAACTGAATATTTCCTTATAATTACAGATATGTGTTTTTCTTTAGGACTGTAATTGTAAAGGTTGCACCCTAGTTGTTTTTGCCAATAATTGGAGAAGGCTACGGAAGGTAACTGGTAGATTGTTACTAACTTGGAGGTAGAGTAAAGGCAGTACCACAGGTTCTGTGCAATGGACCAGTAGTTTGTTAGGTTTGAAAACAAAGCCCTTTCCTTGGGTTAAAAATAGCAAGCCCTGTGCAGATAAGATGGGAAGCAGTGCAGGTTGTCAGCCACAGTTTGGATAAGAGAAAGTCCAGTTGGCTTGCTGAGCAGGACGTTCTGGGTTTAAGATGCCAAAACTGTTTAGACCTTGGCTTTGCTCTTTATTCTCCCACGGGCTCAAGAGTAGGCCTCCTCTACTCCCCTGGTCCAGCAGAACAAGATATGTGCCACAGTCAGCTACATCTTGCCTAAGTACATCCTATGAGAACAGGATGTCTCCAGTTGAGCTTGTTTCCTCAGTTGATGCTACTTGGGATAACGTGAACCTCTTTATTATTAGTTACTTGGCTACCATATTTTTTAATACTAATGTCTCTACTCACTGGTAGAGACTTGAGGATTTTCCCTTAGCTACTTAAGTTTTAATTTCTTCTAATTTTTCTTTTAGAAATGGAAAGTACAGGATGAGTCTGGGGACAATCTGTGTACTAAGTGTGGTATTTGAGAGCACCATCCTTCCTCTAATTAGCCGTGCAGGCCCTAGCTGTAACAGATGATATTCAATTTGAAGCTCAAAACAAACACATCTATATTGTAAGCATAGGCTGCTCATTCATTCCCAGCCTCCCAGACTCTAATAATCACACAGAAACTATATTAATTACAGCACTGCTTGGCCTGTTAGCTCAGTCTTCTTATTAAGTAACTCTTAAATCTTTTTTTTTAGAAAAATATTTATTTATTTATTATGTATACATAATTCTGTCCGTGTGTATGCCTGAAGGCCAGAAGAGGCCACCAGACCTCATTACAGATGATTGTGAGCCCACCATGTGGTTGCTGGGAATTGAACTCAGGACCTTTGGAAAAGTAGGCAATGCTCTTAACCTCTGAGCCATCTCTCCAGCCCTGTAACTCTTAAATCTTGAATTAACCCATTTCTATTAATCTGTGTATGGCATGAGGCTGTGGCTTACTAGTAAGAATCCAGCATCTGACTCCTTTGGCAACTACATGGCATCTCTCTCACTCCACCTACCTTCTCTTTATATCTCTTCCAGCCTGGCTATATTCTGCCCTACTATAGGCCAAAGCAGCTTCTTTACTAACCAATGGTAGTTAAACATATTCGTAGCATACAAAGGGGAATCTCACATCACCATATAACTAAAAAAAAAAAATCACTTTTTTTGCAAAACAAATGTTCTATATTGTACAAGCAAGGAGAATGGTGTCAAGATGGCACTTGGGGTAGTAAACAAATGCCAATCCCACTACTGTAGACTGATCTTATGCATAAGTCTGCTCCCTCTGACAGCATGGTTATATATGTTAGTTTAACCTCTCATAGTTCCAATTGATCTAGTCTTTTTTAAAATATAATATCCTATTGCTGAAAACACCATGCATTTCAGACCCTGGGCCCAGAGGCCTCTCGGCTGGAACTGACATGAATGCCTCTTTCCTGAGGACTAGCTTTTATGGAAGTTGAAGGCACCATGCAAGCTCCCAAAGGATAAAAGCAATCAACAGTCTTATCCTATGATCCACAACAGCAGCCATCATGGAACAGTAACCCCAAGGGTGTAATAGTGGCACACATACTCTGGTAGTAATCAACAGCTCTCTGTTTAGACTTAAGACCTGCTTATGCTAGGTATGGGAGACCTAGCTAACTACCCAGGACTAGTGAAGTCATGGATCTTGGAGAACCTACAACTGCCACTTTACTAAACAAGCATACATCCTAACTACATTCTAAATGTTCTAAATATTTTCCCAATCACCCAGAGATAAGTATAGTCATTACACCCGTTAAAGAAACTTCTCTTTGTAACAGATAAGACTATTATAAGATGAAACTACAATTAATAAAAATGGAGAGTTGTGGATGTGTAGACCCAACTAACACTCACACAGACACACACACACACACACACACACACACACACACACAAAACAATGAAGGTGTAACATGAGGGCTGGCTTGTTGGGGTATCTGTCCCGCCCAGTACGCCAACGAGCCAGCAAGTCCCAAGGAAAATCACATGAAGTCTACATTAGGTTATAAACTGATTGGCTCATTAGGTCAGGCTACTCATTAGCTCTTATGACACATATTACTCCATTATCCTTATCTACTTTAGCACATGGCTCCGTACCTTTCTCAGCTGGGCAAGTTACATGCTGCCTCTTCAGTGATCTGCACAGGAGTCGCTGAGGGAGTTTCTTCCTCCCTAGCCTTATCCTATTCTCATTGTCCCGCCTCTACTTCCTGTCTGGTTGACCCGCCTATACTTCCTGCCTGGTCAATCAGCGTTTTATTAAAATACATGATTGACAGAATACAGACAATTCTCCCACACCATGAAGGGAAAGAGAGGCCATGAATTTCAAAGAAAGCAAAGAAATGATGTAATTATATTATAATCTCAAAAAATAGAAATATATAATACAAATGCATTACAAAATTGATAGACAGTGTAGGGGAACAGACCTGTGTACATTAGGCCAGGGACCTAGGGGAAAATCAAGTACTATTGTCTACTGAAGGAACATAGCAATAAAATGACTCCTAGTGACATCCTGCTATACTCAGAGATCCATGCCTTGCCCAGCTATCATCAAAGATGCTTCCTCTTCCAGCAATTCGAAAAAAATACAGAGATTCACAGCAGGCGTTATGCAGACAGTGAGAGACCTTGAAACCCTCAGCTTTAAACAGGATGTTTCTATCCAATCCCTCTCCTCAGGGTTTAGGGAACCCTGTGGAGGACATGGCTGGAAGAATGTAAGATCTAGCAGAGATGGAGGGCACCAGGGAAACAAGGCCTTCTCTATAGAGTGGGATCAATGCACTTATGGATTCCCAGAAACTAGGGCAGCATGCACAGGGTCAGCATGGGTGTACACCAGATGGGGTTCTTGAGCCAAAAGAAGTAGACACATGCTCCCAGCCCTAACCCAGAAGCTATTTCCATTTGACAACCACTTGCAAATGAAACAATTAGTATTCTGCAAGGGAGTCACAGTGGAGAAACACACTACTCTTTAGGGTGGGACCATGTCCCGCAGTAGGTGTCCCACAGATAACTGACTCAGCACCTTTGGAGGTTCTTTGTCTTTATTATTGTGTCAGGGCTTTTGTCTTTTCTTTAACCTCACAGGTCCCTTGCTTCCAGTTTTGTGTTTTTATGGAATTCCTGTGTATATGATCATGTGTGTGTGTGTCCATGTGTTTCTTATGCTTTTTCACCAACCCTTTTCCTTTTGCTTGTTTTGTCTTATTCCTATTGGTTTTGTTTTGTTTTGTTTTATCTTATGTTTTATTATTGTTACTTAGATGCTGCTTTGTTTTCTAACAGAGATAGAAAGGGACTGGATCTGGGGAGGTGGAGAGGAACTGGGAGGAGTTGCAGGAGGGGACACTGTAATTAGAATGTATAGTGTGGAAAAAGTCCACTTTCAGTAAAATAAAAATAACTAACCACAAATAGAATTTGAACCAGTATATTGTTTTATACATCATTGCATATTTTATATTTTATTAATTTTCCATAAATGTATAGTAGGTGTGTGAACTGGGCCAGTGTTGGGTAGCAGTAATGTCTTGGGAATAAAACCATCCTTGTTGGAGGGAAGCTTGTTAAGATAAAGGATGTTCTAAGGGGAGGTGAAACACCCCATCCTGCAGGGAGCTACTGAAGACATTGGCTATTCCATGTGGTGGAGGGGAGGTGAAGCATTCCATCCTGCAGCTCATAGGCATAACATACATAACTCAGAGGCTTTAGGAATCCCTGAAACTGACTGGATTCTTTTAGCTCCCACCCCCTATGCCTCGCATATATAAACAGTAAGAATTATTGACAAAGACTCTCAGAGTATCTGAGCTACCTAGAAGAAACTCAAACTGGGAAAGAGGCTCAAACCAACTGAATTACTTAGAAAAGTTACTCTCCGGCTTGTGCAGATGCCTGCGGGTTGCAGTGTGCTTCATGCTTCTAGCTCTTATGAGCTGTCACCCAAGTTAGGGTCACCCAGCTATCTCTGTGTTATTTCTGTTGTTCCTGTAAGTAACCCCTCACCCATACTCAGATAACC